TATTCCAGTGTATGTTTAAACCATCTATTCATCCATCGATGGACATTTGGGTTGTTTCCATGTTTTAGCTATTGTGAATAACACAGCTATGAACATGGGCGTACAATATTTGTTCAGATCCCTGCTTTCAATTCTTTTGTGTATATATCTAGAAGCTGAATTGCTAGATCATATGGTAATTGTATGTTTAATTTTTTATGGAACTGCTATACTGTTTTCCACAGCAGCTGCACCATTTTACATTCCCACCAACATTATATAAGGATTCTAATTTCTCCACATCCTTGCCAACACTTGTTATTTTCTTTTTTTAATTAAAAACATTTTTTAAAAATAATAACTGTCGTAATGAATATGAAGCGATATCTCAGTGTTTGGTCCATTTTTTAATATTTAGAGTCAACCTTTCTTCTGATGTCCTCAGTGTTTTCATGCTTTCTCAGTTGCCTTTTCCGTATTTTTGTTAGATGAGGCTTGTTCTCCCTTTGAGATATGGGGAAAGGATATCCTGGAACCTACTTAGAAGTAGGAATGACCACGACCCCCCTGTAATCTGCTTGCAGTGCAAGCCCTTGAAGTACCAGCTAGACAGGACTGTGAGGGAATATCTTGGGCCAAAGCACGGGCTGTGGAAGGAAGCAGAAGGTGACTCGCTAAGCCCTCACCTCTGCAATGGGTTCTCTGGGGGCATGGGGACAGTCCAGTACTTGCTGACTCAGGGCAAAAGCTGCTTGTGGTTGCTCCTGGTGTGGCTCCTAATGTTAGTTTTGGCTGTTTTCACTGGGTTAAATGAAAACAAAAACAAAAACAAACAAAACTCTGTGAACTTTGCAGAAGGTTTCTTATGGCAGATTCATGAGATACAGTCCAAATTCATCCCTGAATCTGAGAGAGAACAAAAGCAACTTTTTAAGATTTAAGTGTAATTTAGGGGAAGCTGTTTATAAACTGATCCGGGGCAGATTCCAAGGGATCAGCTGACAAGGGCGCCCCCTCCTGGACTGCCTAAGAACTGTTCATGGCTCTGTTTTGGACATGGCAATACCAGGACTAATGAAAATTATAATTTTAGCTAACACTTTCTATGGTGTTTAATGGTTCTAAGTGGTTTATGTTATTAGCTTTCTTAATCCTTATAACAACTTTTTGGGGTAGTGATTTATCATCTCCATATTACTTATGAGTAAATGGAGACCCAGGGTGATTAAGTTGTCCAGTGTTATGCAAATAGCATTGGGAACTGAACTCAGGCAGCCTGGCTTCAGACTCAGGCTTCTGGAGCTTTGGGAGATTTGAAGAAAGCATCAAGGTCAGATGTCTCATTTAATAAAACATTGCTTTTACAAAGCATTTCATAGTTTATAGTGTTTTTATGTTTCATCTAATCTTCATAATAACTCAGTGAGGCAGACATTCATGTCATTCTCATTTTGAAAGAGGTAGAAATTGAGACCTAGAGACAGTCAGGGACTTTCTTAGGAAAGTTGTGGGGTGTTGGCATGGATGAGAAAAGGGAACCCTTGTGCACTGCTGGTGTGATTATAAACTGGTTCAGCCACTATAGAAAACTGTGTGGAGGTTCCTCAGAAACTTAAAACTAGAACTACTGTATAATCCAAAAATCCTTTTGAATATATATCCAAAGGAAATGAAAACAGGATATTGAAAAGGTATCTGCACTTGCATGTTTATTGCAGCATTATTCACAAATAGCTAAAATATAGAAACAAGTGTTCATCAGTGGATGAATAAACAAGATATAAGATACACAGAAATATTTTTCGGCCATAAGAAAGAAGGAAATCCTGACATTTGCAACAACGTGGGTGGACCTTGAGGTCATTAGCTAAGTGAGATAAGTCAGATAGAGAAAGACAAATACCTTATGTTCTCACTTACATATGGAATCTAAAAAAGCTGAATTCATAGAAACAGAGCATAGAATGGTGGTTACTAGGGACTGCAGAGGGATGGGGAATTGAGGAGATGTTAGTCAAAGGGTAAAAACTTGAAGTTAAAAGACGAATAAGTCTCGGAGATCTAATACATAGCATAATGATTATAGTCAACAATACTGTAGTATATACTTGAAAAGTTGCTAAGACACTAGATCTTAAATGTTCTGACCACAAAAATGTAATAATCATTATGTCAAGTGAGGGAGATGTTAGCTAATGCTACGGTGGTAATCATTACAACATATAATTGTATCAAACCAACACATCGTACACCTTAAACAAACAATAGTATATGTCAATTGTATCTCAAAAAAAATAATGTAGGGAGAGAAGAAAACCAGAAAATTGTCATGGAGCTGCCCTTGACCCTGTCCGACTTCACATAGGTCCTTTTTCCATAATCTGGGCTGGGCAGCAGGGTTGACTTTGCCATGGCCAAGGCCAAGATCCTGCTTCCTACTTGCAGCCTCGGCTGCTTCCTCACCTCAGTGTTCTCAGTGCTGTCGCCTGGCATTTCTGAGCTGATAAGGCTTTTCAGTCATCACAGTTGGTCTGAGATGTTGAACACAGTTGCACAGAGGAGAGTTCACAGAAGGGGTGGGGGATTGGTGAGACCAGAGCCTGACTGTAGGGAGAACTCAGCTGCCCACTGGGCTGGTAAAGAAAGTGGAGTGAGCAGGACCTTCTTAAGGACCAACGCGTTTGTCCTTTATTTTGTGTGCAGTAGGAGCCACTGAAGGCTTTTGAGGAAGCACGTGGCAGGATTAGAGCTGGGCTTTAGGAGGCTGGGTTTAGTCTCTGTGTGACCAATAGCTCAGGGCCTCATCTTGCTGAGTTCCCAAAACCTGTCTTCCTAGTATGCATATGACTTCTTTCTGCAACCTGTCTGTCATGAGTATTGCTATCTCTTAGTGGCTATAAACTCTTAAAGGCAACTGTCCCTTGTAGGGCACTGGTTTCTATGCTTAGTTTGCAGCCTAGTAACTGCAAAGTCCATATTAGAGTATTTCCCTTGTTTGAACCTCTTGCCACATGCATGGCGGGCATCGTGGTGTCTTAATATTTGGATATTACAGATGAGCCAACTGGGCACCAAAACCTAGGTTTTCTCCCTGGGATGGCTTCCTCTCTTTTCTCTGGAAAACTTCTATTGACCTTTCCAGACCTAATCAGGTGCTCCCTCTCCTGTAATGGCTTCTTGCTTTTTTGTTGCGTGTGAATGTTGCTGCCCCTAAACTCTAACAATACTGAATCCATTCCTATTTTCATGGTGTTAGAGATATTTATTTGTTTTATTTTCCCAGCTAGATTTCAAGTGCCTTGAGGGAAGGGTCTGGTCTATGTTCTCCCTATGCCCAGCTCAGGCCTGGCACAAGTTAAATACTTAATTGGGCACAGTCATTCAAGAATGTATATTGCCTGCTGATCGATACATATGTATTCTAGGCACTAGGATACGGCAATGACTAGACCAAAAGCTCCTGTTAGAGCCTCTGCATGTGACCCCTACTTTCATAATTACTGTATGAGAGACAGACTTCATGTCTCCTTCCTCAGACCTGGGGGATATTTTGTTTCGAGAAGGGGTCTTTAGCAGCTTGAGATTAGAAGTGATTTCTTTTGGGCCCAGGGCTATTAACCTTGTATCCTCCAAATACTAACAGAACACAGTTCTCTGACATGATAGATTGTAGATCTTGCTACATGTGGACTGAATGGAGTTGGAGTAGAAATAGACTATGGGTAAGATTTTACTCCAGGAGAGGAAGGTGACCTGCTTGGACTAGGGCTCCCTAGTCGTATACAATTACAAGAACACAGCCAGCTTCCAAGAGTTCTCTACAAGAAGATTGAATGTTAGAGGCAGATAGGGGCCTGACAAGATGCAATCAGACTACAAAATAGTTGGTTTTAATTTTACACAGATGTTGTTGCCTCTCTTGGCATTTTCCCAGCTCTGGGACTCCCTTTTGAGTTTTAAAGCAACAACACACGGAAGTCTTTTGAAGATCACTTGGCTGAGACAGAATCCTGCCTTGAGGAATGCAAAAATCCAGAAGGCTGTGGAGGGGGGCATCTTAGAGTTTTGTAACCTATGGGGTGACAGAGTTATCAAAGGGTCTCATTCTCCCTCCCCACAACACAGTCACCTACCAACTATCAAGGCCATAGTAAACCAGAGATAAAGGGCACCAGAACTGTAATACCAGTTTTTCCACAACTCATCCTGGTAGCAGAAAGGATGGTCCATGATCCAGCTTGGCTACTTACCCAGCTGGGCAAGTCACTGTTCTTCCTTGGGCCTCAGTTTCCATATCAGTAACATTAGGAGGTTTGACTGGATGGTCCCAAATGCTTTTTTGGCTTTTTGTAGGAAAGAGCAGGGGTTCTGGTATCAAACACACCTGGATTTAAAACAAAGGGAGCTTGAGAGGTGGGATTCCTGTGGTGGAAAGGGCTGCATGGGTTTTGGAGCCAGAGACACCTGGGTTCCGGGCCTGGGGCTGCTCCTTATTATCTCAGATAGTGCAGAAATAGTGATGTGCCCTCCTCCCTGTGTGGTTGGGGGAAGTATCTATCATGAGCTATTACAAGGAAGGTATGCAGCCCAGGGCTAGGCACGGAGAAAGCCTACAGCCAATGTGGTGATGTGGTGGCATCTGGAGAAGCTGGGTGCATGGGCCTAGGGTTTGAGAAGCTGGTCCTAAGCAGGGGTCTCCCAGGAAGAAATACATGTGCAGATGTAGATTTCCATCTAAAGATTGCTTGCTTATTCTGGAACAGGGCTGCAGGATCAGCCCCACAACCCTAAACTGTCATGAATGTCTTTACCCCGACAGGGACAGCCTAGCCCAGGGCTGCTGTCTAGGGCTGGGCCTGCCCTGCCATTCCAGGCTCTGAGCTCCATGCAGCCCACATGGGTGGATCCAAGTGAATCCTGGGACTCTGGGGTGAGGCTTTGGGTTACTGGCCCAGCCCTGGCTTACTCAGTGTAGTGCCTGGGCTGCGGGTCTGGGCAAAAAGCTCTCTATCCCTTTCTAGTGCGTAGGTCCAAGGAGGCTGATGAAGAGAGAAGCCGCCGAGCCCAGCGCGCCCGGGATGAGTACCAGCGCCATTCGCTCCGCGCTATCCAGAAGGGCACTGTCGCTGGCCTCAGCTCCATGTTCCGAGAGCTTGGCCAGAGCCATGAGCAGGAGACCAGACTCTACCACCACCTCCCGGGACCAGGTCCGCTGCCACCCATCGCAGTGCCTGTCAGGTGGGTCCTGTGAGGGTGGGGGGCTCTGCATAAGGAGGTGTGGCTGGGGACAGGGCCTTGCGTGGGGGCCAGCTAGGATCCGGTCCTGGTTCTGCCTCCAACTTGCTGTGAAATTTGGAGCTGGTTATTTCCCCTCTGTGGGCCTCAGTGTCCCAGTCTGTGTAAAGGGGCAGGAGGTGGGATAGGAGTGGGGGTTGGAGATTTCCAATAACTCTGGAATTCTGGGAGTGTTAACTTTTATGGAGTCCAGGATTCCTTTGAGAATCCAAAGAAAGCTGTATATTCTCTTCCCTCCAAAATATGCATATATAAGTACCCCAAAATGTTTGCTTCTAATTTTAAGTGCTTAAAGGTCCATAGATCTCAGATTAAGAACTTGTAATATTAGACCTCAAATGGGTTAAATGTGGCCCAGCGGCTGGGAAACAAGGGCTGGCTACCTTTTGTAACCAACCACAGACAATGCTGGTCCATCCCAGGTTCTGATAGCAGGTTTGCAGATGAGTGCGATGGAATGCAGGAGGGTCACACATATTGGTGTCCCTGGAGGGGTTTGGCAAAGGCACTTAAGTGACTGCCCATAATCGCGAGGATCAAGGCTGAAGAGGTTGCCTGGAGCTTCACCACCTTCCACCTGTGCCCACCTTAGGCCAGTCGCAAGCTTTGTGGCCTCATCATTGCTGAGCAACTGCTGCCCCCGTGAGGGCTCAGAGGCTGGATGGTGAGCGCCTACTGGTTCCCTAAATCACGGTTAATCTGAAGAAGAGTCCATTGACTCCCAGATGATGGAGGGGCTGCCTTAGTTTTGCTTTAATTTGGATTTATGATGATCTATACCCCGCTTCTACCTCTCCCTGCAGTCTAGGGAGAGCTGGCTATGTTTGAATTTCTTCCTTCCTTCCTGCCTTTCTCTTTTCCTTCCTTGTCATTTATGTAATTGAGAAACCGGAAAGTTTAAAAAGATATATGGAGAAAAGACTGACTCCTATCATTGTTCTTCATCTTCTTGGTTCCCTCTTCCCCTAAGGGAACCAGTGTTCTTAGTTTATATAGCCTCCCAGTTCGTTTTTGCAATTGCCAACATGAAAAGTTATATCCTTCTCTCTCTCTCTTTTGCATAAAAGTTTGCATATTCTACAAGGGGGTCTGAATCTTGATTTTTTTTCATTTAACTATATTTTGGAGATCTTTTCATATAAATTCTTAACTATTTATTTTTATTTAGCTTTCTTTTTGTAGCTGCATAGTATTCCACTGTGGGGATGTGCTATAATTATTTATCAAATAATCTATTAATGAACATTGGCATTGTTTGAAATCTTTGGTTATTAATAACAATGCCCTCGATGAGTTATAACCTTGTAGACATTAATTTTACATATGAATACCTATTATTTACAAGAGAGATTCCCAAAAGTGGTATCATTGGGTTAAAGGTTGTGTGCATTCACAGTATTGATGGTTATCTCAACTTGCTCTACACAAGGGTAGTGCCAATGAACACTCTGATCCCTTAGCCTTGTGAACGAATGTTGTTAAACTTGTTTTGTGTGAGAAATAATATCTCAGAGAAAGTTTAAATTTGCATTTCAATTTATGAATGATATTAAGTATTTTTTATATGTTTAAGGACCATTGTAGTTCCATATCTGTCTGTTCATTCCTCTACCTGTTTTTTCATTGTGTTATTGGTCTTTTCTTCATCCATTTCTAGGAACTTCTTAAATATTAGGGAAAAGTATCTTTTTGTTTCTGATAAACGGCTTTTTCCTGTTTGTCATTTGTTTTTAGATTTTTGTGATAAAGAGTCATTCAGGAATTCTTGATTTTTATGAGGTCAGATTTTCTTTTATGTTTCCCAAATTTGGAGAAATAGCTAGAAAAGCCTTCTTGGCATTTTCCCAGGAAGATGATAATTTGTCATTTTAAAGTAAACAGATAATTTATCCTTCAGGACCACATGATGGAGTTGCATGGACCGTGGTCCAGTCTAGCTCCAGACAGGCTTCAGGTAGTTATCAGTAGAGGAGCAGCAGCAGCCACAGTGAGCCATCAAGGGGACCAGGGCCATGCAAATGGAGCAGCAGACTCAGGTACCCCGAGAGGCCATACATCAGCCACCCTCCTGTGGCCCCATGGGACAGGTCTCCGTGGCCTTAACGTCCTCAGCTTTGCAGTACTGGCACTGGCCAGCATATCCTCATCTCACTGTGCTTAGGGACAGACACACATTTTTGCTGGGAGAAAGTTCCAGGTTCAAGAGTAAGGCTTCTGGCCAGTTGGCTTCTTGGAGCACCATCCTAGCATATCATTCTGGTGAATCAGATTCTCTGCTTAGAAAGAGAGGGACAGGAATGAATGGATTTTTCTGGCTGTCATTTTATAACTTCTTCTTGGCATCTAAGGAGAACGAGTCCTAGAAACTAGAGTTTTTCCTACCAAGCAGTTATTTATTTGGGAATGCAAGTGTGAAGGAGGAGGCTAGGACAGGGCTGCTGTGTGATGCTTAATAAAGAGGAAAGACATCTGAGGTTACTGAGAGAGGGAACCCTAACGAGTGAATACAGTGGGAGCAAAGCTGATTGTGAGGGTGTAAAAAAGAGCCTAAAGAGGCAGCAGGGGAAGAAGACATTTAGAGAATAAACTCTACTGATAATGGCTTTAAGCCATACAATGGAAACTTATCCTCTGACTTTCTTATAACATCTTTTCTAAAATCCACACTGTTCACGACTGTGTGTGTGTGTGTGTGTGTGTGTGTGTGTGTGTGTGTGTGTGTGTAAATGGATTCATTTTAGGGCAAGTGAAAATATGAACTAATTCTTGGCTTTCCAAGGAAGTGCTGAACTCTGTATCAAAGTGTAGGGCAAATATGGAGATACTATGAGGGGACAGCTGACATTTATTTTATAAAAATGTAATGACAACAATGGTGTATTCTAAATGCCATTGCCATTAGGTAGATAGCAATGACAAAGTAAAAACTTACTAGGTTTCTTTCACTCAGGTGGAAAGGTGAAAAGGCTGTAGTTATTCAAGCTAGGCCAAAGGCCTGCTCTTCAGATGCTATATATTCATGCAATAAGTTAATGAAATCTGATCTTGCTACATATTAATTCAAAGAATAGTTGGTGCAGTCCTGTTCTGTGTCATGTGCTATTGAACTCTAACTGTGCTTCATGTTACTGTGGCTCCAATACAACAGGGGTCTTTTGTGGCCCCGTCTCTGTATGCATTCAAGAACCACAGTTTGGACATAAAAATAATTAAAATCTTGGCTTACTTGTGAGAAAATATCAAAAAGTATTTAAATCATTAGTCATAAATTATTCAAGTGCCTCTATTCATCTCACTCTAAGTATGTTCAATCCCTCATCATCAAGTCCATCAAAAGTCAACCAGTGCAGTGCTCCATCCCCTCCTCTCTCCCTTCCCTGTGTCCTTTTTATCTCTTGGTGGTAAATCTCAGCCATATCTGGAGCAAATCGAAGTTCTCTAATTTCTTGCTCTGGTCATTGTCCTGATTCTGTCTCGCAAAAGCACAGAAGGAAGCTAGCTGGCAAAGGCAGGTGTCCCTTTAGAAGGCCAGGGAAGAGGCCACACTGAGGGGTAAAAGCAGAATTCTCTTTAGTGGGGATATGGGGTAGGAGACAGAGGACACTCACATATTAATAATTTTGTTCCCATTACATTGGGATCCTTCTTCATGGATACTGATGTTCACTCCCTGGCTATTCTAAAGGGAAAAATGTACCTTTCTTTCCCTCAGACATCCCTTCCTACCCTCTTTTCCAGTGTCACCTGTGTGGATTTTTTTCAAAGCAAGTGTTAACAGTTTTCTTTTGGGAAAAATAATAACAGCTGGTACATTATAATCTGCAAAGTGCCTTCAAATACCTGGACTCATTCAATCCTCTCCACAGGCATGAGTGTGGGCACTGTGCTTATTCATTCTCACAGTGGTCTCTCTCCCCCTCCCTTACCTCTCCCTCCCCTTCCATTCTCCCCCCTGTGTCCCTCCCCTTCCTTTTCCCTTCTTCTTCCTCCTTCCCTCGCACCCCCTCCTTCTCCTCTTCCCTCTTCCCTTCCCTCCCTCCCTACACCTCTCTCTCCCTGGCACTCCCACACTCCCTCTCTTCTCAGCAGGACTTGGGAGCGCCCCCTGCGTCCTGTTTCCAGGGAAGTCATAGTCCGCTGGTTTAAGGAGGAGCAGCTACCTCGCCGAGCTGGCTTCGAGCGGAACACCAAATCCATCGCCCCCTGGTTCCATGGTAGGATGGCTGTCTGGGTCCCTGGGGCAGATAATTTCTACATGTCTACCTCTCTCTGGGGCTGAGAAGGAGGTCCTGAAGCACTGTTGTAATCAGGGGAGTAGAGGACTTTTGACTCTGCTAATTCCACTCTGCTCCACAAAGACTGGCCACTCACTCTCCCAGGATTAAGATCAGGTGTCCTGGCTCACCTGGGTGAGAGTAGAGTGGAGAGAGGTCCCATGTCTGTCATTTACTTGCACATTGAGTGTCTGAGTTTAAGGCGCAAGTTTTGATTTCCCCAGGACATATGCTGAAATACTGTGTGACCTTTATTGAGGCCCTTAGAGACAAAGGTATAACGTCTCTGAGCAGGAGCCCAGGAGGGCACTAGGGATTCTGAAGATGCATTCCCTCTTTCTGTTGGGAAGGGATGAACATGACTTTTGCCAACTGCTCTCACCTCTAAGCCTTCTTGGCCATCAAGAGCTCCTCAAAGGCATCTTCTCTATACTCACAAGACAATGAGCTCTCAGTGGACCATGAGCTCCTGGTGGGCAGGGCCCACATCTTGTTGTCTGAGCCCGCATCCCTAGATCCTGGCCATAGCCGGGCACACAGCAGACTCTGAGAAAATACTTGTCGATTAGATGACAGAATGGCTGCATGAAGAGATGAAAGTTATCCAAACATAGAACCTTAGAGCTGGGAGGCTTCCCGGAAGTCTCTTATTGCTTCATTTTATAGATAAGAAATAAGGCCCAGAGAGGGGAGGATGTTTTCATAAGGTCACTAAGACTTGTAAAGTCAAGTTGGAGAATATATCTCATGGCTCATGACCCCAGTCCAGTAATCTGAACAAGTAGAGGCCTCAAACAGGGAAACAGGACTGTGATTGCAGCAGCAACATGTTACAGAGAAGAGGGGCTGTTGGCCATTCTACCCCTCTATATCAGTTAGTGATTGCTACATAATAAATCACCTCCAAACTCAATAGCTTAAAAAATATAAGCATTTATTATTTATTCATGTGTTTCTGAATCAACTAGGCAGTTCTTCTGGAATGGGCACCTCAGATGATCTGAGCTGTGCTTGCTTATGTGTCACCAGACAGATGGCAGGTCAACTGGGGCTGGCTTATCCAGGATAGACTTGGCTGAGACGCCTCCCCTCTGCTCCATATGGTCTCTCATTCTCCAGGAGCCTGGCCAGACTGTCAGATTTCTCTGGATAAGCTGCATCTTGGCCTTGCTCCCTGAGTCTCCCTCCCTCATCAGTGTCGAGCCCAGGTTCACCCAAGGACTCCCCTGGTCAGAATGGATCTCTCCTACTACAATTAGCACTCATCTGATTTTTACCTGTCTCTGTTTCCCTTCTGCGGGCCTCCTGGGAGCTTGGCCTGTATTTCCTGTGCCCTGGTTATATGAATTGCCCACCTGCTTCCTGGTCAGCTTCTAGGTATTCTCAATGCCATCCAGATAGAGAGATGAACCCAGTGTCACAGTGGGCACTGGAGATTTGGGATCTTGAGGGCCCTCACAGGCAAGCTCTGGGCATGGCTCTATGTCCAGGAAAGGCAGCCGGAGTGATTAGCAGAAATCATGCATAGGTGAGCAAGGCCATGTGTACCTTCATCTCCACCTCCAGAACCCAAAGTTTGTGAACTTTGGAGTAGTCATACTCTATAGATGCGATGATTGAGATGAAGCACTGTTAAGGGACTGCCAAAGGTCACAAAAGTCACAGAGGGACCACTCGGTCCAGGCTGCAAGGGTGTCCTCATTGGTTTGTCTCTTTCGCTGTGGCCCCTGTACAATTCATCCTCCACACAGTAACCTGAAAATCTTTTAAATATAAATCAAATCCTGTCACTCCACTGCTCAATACCCACTGCTTCCCTTTACATTTACAATGAACTTCAAACTCCATGTCAGAGCCCACAAGGCCCAGATGAAGGGTCCTTCTTCCAGCTTCATGCCACAATTCTTCCCTTGCCCACCTCGTTTCCATAGCTCTGCCTTTTTTCCTTCTGCCTTAGGCCCTTTGCACTTGCAATTTCTCTGCTTGCTATTGTTCTTTCTCTATCTTTTCACATGGGAGACACATTCTGTTTTTCATCTCAAATATCCCCTCCTTGCAGAGGCCTTTCCTAAACCCCTTACTTAAAGCAGACTTTGCCAGTTTCTCTCAATTCACCATGTTTATTTCTTTAAGAGCACTCACCCAGTTGGTATTTATCTTATTTGCTTAACATCTGTTCTTCTACCTGAATGTGAGCCTATGAAACTAAGGCCCTCGTCCATTTTCCCCAGTGCCTACCATAGTAAATATCCATGGGAAAAATGGAAGAAGGCAGACATGAAGTGTTAATATTGGAATTCAACCCCAGTCTTTCTGATTCCAAAGAATAACCCTTACTTCTTTGCACTGGGCTCTGGTGGATGTGTGAGTCCCCTCAGGGCCTGATGAGTGAGGTTGAGCTGGGAGCAATCAGAAAACCCAGAGCCACACGTGGGAGGTTAGGCTAGCCTTCCCAATTCGCCATGTGCTCGCTGGGGCCAGGGTCCTATTCCTTAGGCATCTCTGTACTCTCCCCTCACGTCTGCTTTTCATCTGCCCAGGGATCAAGTAAATATCTAAGACAAACTCAATGTCTTTCTCTGTTGCCATTGTTGTTGAGCTCTCCAACTCAATTACTGGCATCCCCATTGTGTCAGTCAGATTATGCTTAGTTATGCTACAGTGACAAATGATTCCAAAGTGTCTGACTTCCACCAGCCAAGACTTATTTCTTACCCATGTTACATACCCACTGGGAGTTGGTTGTGGACCTTAATCTGGGCCTCAAACAGAAGGTGTTGTCTCTATTGAGAGCTCTAATGGTCTCATGACAGAAGGTAAAAAGAAGCATAACCAACCACATACTGGCTCCTGAAGTTTCTGTCTGGACTTGAAAGACACTATTGTCGCTCACATTTCTTTGGCTAGAGCCAACCTGGCATCTGCAGTGTGGATGGTTTTGAATGATAGTAGAGTCTGTTATAACCACCATTTACTTTTAGACCCTTTCCTACTCCTTGGCCATCACTTATTATACAAAATATGGAGTGGCTCTTTATAGCCCAGAAAGATGACAGTCAACATTCCTGGGTGACTGAGCCAGGTGTCCCTGGAGCTGCTCCTAGGGATTCCCTGCCTCCTGCTTCTGTCCTAGTTATGTGTTCCTGTAGCCCTGAGAGAGTTTCCATTTGAACCACTGGTTTATTTTTCATTCATATATTAATATAAGCATGGAAACAACACTAACATCTTAGGCACCTGTGTAGTACAATTCAAAAGTTCTGTGTAGATGATGGTTTGGCAGGAGACTGGTTGCTCTGTGGTCCCCTCAGGCAGTGAAAAGTCACAGCAGAGGTGCTCAAATTTATCTTTAGCTTCCATCCTGATGGAAAAAAAAAAACAATGTAAGTTTTATATTGTCACAGAACAAACAGAACCATGATTTACTCTCACAACAGTGAAAAGTCACAGCAGAGGTGCTCAAATTTATCTTTAGCTTCCATCCTGATGGAAAAAAAAAACAATGTAAGTTTTATATTGTCACAGAACAAACAGAACCATGATTTCACTCTCACAATTTATGTAACTGATTTCATGTTCTTTTGACAGTTCTATCATAAAGCATGCAGGAAAGTTGCTAACATACGAACTGGAGCTATTTAGTGACAAATTTTCATTGATCTGCCACAGAATGAAAGAAAAAGACTCACATATGGAGGGTAGCCAACTATCTTCACTTGGAAAAGACCGTCTCATATTCTAAGATGAAACCCTTTTCTCAATTTTAGTGTCAAAATGTCCTATTTTTTATGACTTGATGGAGATAGTATGCCGTAGTTATTTTTATATATTGCCTTTGCTCAGAAAAGCAAAAAGGTAGCAGCTCCATTTTGGTTTCCAAACTCTTTATAGTAACTTTACTCATACCTAAAATCCCAGCGTGTGGAAGTACTGATACAGTCCAGCGTCTCTCCCAATGTAAGAATTCCCTACAGCTCTGCTGGTAGGACTTCTCGATACTAATCCCTACAGAGATGGAGCCTACTGCCCCACAGACAGCCTGCAACTGTCTTATTGTTAGGGAGTCTTTGCTGCAGGTTGATTGGAAACTGTGCTCTCTATGGGCTTGGCTGGACATCTAGGCGGGGGTGGCCCTTTATCCATGCATCTCTTGTGCTCCTCCTGGGACCCAGGAGGCTAGCCCAGGCATGCTCTTCTCAGGGACCAGAGAGCAAGTGGCAGCATGCGAGGCTCTGGCAGCCTAGTCTTTGAACCAGCACATTGTCGTTTTCACTTCATGTCATTGACCACAATATATCACAGAGTTCAGGGGTGAGAAAATATATTCTGCTCATTTCGTGTGAGTAACTACAAAACTCTGTGTCAAAGGGTGTGGAGACAGAGAGGGGAGAATTCGAGCCAATAATGCAATTTATGAGAAAACTAATGTCATTTTTGTTTTTCTCTTGGGTAAAACCTTCCGAGTTAATTAGCTGGATTTTAGATGCAGTTTAAAAATGACTGCCATGTCTTCTATTTCCTTCTCCTCCCTCAAATACATTTGGATGTGTTGTGGTATAATGCAAAGAGCAATGTAGACAAGGAGTCTAAAGATATGAGTCCACTCTAGAATCAAGCAGCTCTTCGACCTTGGGTGTGTCCCTTAAGTTATCCATCTGTGAAATTGGGATTATAACATCGACTTCACGGGATACTTATGAAAATCAAGCCAACAAATGTGTTTTGCCCACCGTAATCAGCCATGTCAGTATGAGTGCTGATGTCTTCTAGAGTCTGAGGTCAAGCACCAGAGACCTCACCTTTAGGAAACGCAGTTTAGAAAAATGGGCTCAGAGCACATTCAGGGCAGGGTAGGGGGGGGGAGTGGCTTCCCACTGCTACCATGGCGTTCCCAATAAATTCTCTTCTGTTAAAGAGAGATAAAGTGGTAAAGTCATTCC